AAAAAAAGTTTTTTGCAGCCTTGAATTTATTTTTACTGGCTGGTTGCTTCAGCTCCGAGACTGGGTTGAAATAATAACAAGTGGGAGTCTGGGAATGATTAAGGGAAAGAGGCTGTCTGTTGAGGTTAGACTTTCCTGTTTGCAGATTGAGCTCTAAGCACCAGTGTTGCTGTTATTCCATCTGTTTTTAATCACATTGGCATTCTTGACGCCACAGGGAGCCTAATGTGATTTCTGAACTTCTCTGTAATGACCTCTTTGATTTTTGTTACTCTGAAAACGTTTTCTGTGTGAGTACTTTATGAATCATTGAGTGTGTGTGTGCGTGCATGTGTTTGTGTGTGTGCTGCACTTGGACTTGATGGAGCTGAGTCTTAGCTTAAGTTACTGATATAAAGATGGGCTGTTTGTGTGATGCAGAAAGTTTGAGAAGGTGTTCATGTGGAATAAATTGTCCTGTTTTTATAGAAGGTGTAATGTAATGTAAAAAAAACAGTGGGCTTATGAATCTGCTCAAGGACACAGTTGTGACAATGGCTGAATGAGCTCTGTGGTGCATCTCAGTAATCCTTAAGTGATGATCTTGTCATAAGCAAATTACACAGGCAGATTTCCACCTGTCATTGCCTGTGCTATTTTTGCTGTTATATAAAGGGCACATGAAGGAAAAATGAAGAGGGCCAGCCTTTTTATGATATTGTCTTGAAAAGGTCATCTTACTCCAGCCTGTGTTTCAACTTTTCCTCCTAACCTGTTACAGCATTTCCTCTTTGTTCCCTCTGCACAAACGATGACTTTGATCTTTTTCATATTAAGTATTAACAGGCTTGTGTTATAGTTGGTGATGCGGAGAAAATTGATAGCATGTGCACATAACGGGCAAAGTTTCTGATCAAAAGCACTTGTTAATAACTCTTTTTTTCTGTGTTCCTTGCAAGGGAAAAAAGAAAAGTGGTGCTCATTCTTTGCATCAACTTGATCCACATTAATTTGTTATAATGCAGAGTTGCATAGCAGGCGCACCATCTGGAGCACTGGGAGAATTCGCAGTGGGCCATTGGCTTGTGAGCTGGTGGCACGGAACCAATACAGATGGAGCAGCTCACTGATCTTTCTTCCGTTGCCCATTAGTGAAAAAGAAAAAATTGAAGTGAAAGCCCTGCAGTGATTGTTAGAGCCTTTTTCCACTTGTGTTACCAAACAGAAAGCTTCCTCTTCACAAGTGGAATGTCATAAAACTAGTTAAAAACTCCAAAGTGACAACATGTGTCTTTAAGATGCCTGTTGTTGTTGTTGTTGTTGTTTTGTAGTGCAACAGGTTATATCATGCTTTATGGAGGTTAGCTCTCATCATCAGAAGCTTATCCATACACGTGTTGCACATGTACCGAAGCATGCATGCTTATGTGCAACAGAAAGTCAGAGTGGGGGTGGTGTGTTTGTGTGTGTGTTGACGTATCATATATACTGAATGTACACGTCACACACGTTGTGTGCAGTTAATGAGGTTGCATTGATGCCAAAACCAAATGTTTGTGGTATTAGCGATTGGAAGATGTTATTCTGCAGTGTGGTTGCTCTATTTTTAGAGAACCTGAGTCCCAGCAGGCTGCTCTGCCGTCAGACTGTGCACATGGATAAAAGATTTTACTGCTTTGCTAAACAAGAAGAGAAACAAACCTGCTGCATCTCCATTAAGTAGGGATGTGCATGATTAGTCGATTGGTTGATTAAACTTTGGTACCTGCGCTAGTCTGCACCAAAAATACTAGCAGGTTGAACTTATTAAAATTACGGTATTATTTTTATATGCAGTTGCTATCATGTAATGAAAATGCTGTTGTATTAATCAGGATTTATTTTCCTTAAGGATATTGTTTTCAATAAATATTATTTGTTAGTTTCTATTTAGTACGGTTTTTTTTATATTTTTAGGATAATTTGCCATGTTTATAATGCACAGGACAAAGTACAACACATTTCAGTAATATTTCAAAGATGATTTGGTCACTGAAAAATCAGATGGACAATTCCAAATAGTTCTTATAATATACGCAATATTTTTTCAAACAGTATTCATCCTTATCAGTTAAATCGCACTCAGTTTTCGGAGTGTTTTTTAGTGTTTTCGTAGTTAATGACTACCCAACTATTCTAAGTTTAAAGTTCGGTTTATACTCTAAACATTAGTTATTAGAAACATCCCTAATTATAAGACACCTAAAATAATGCCTCCATATGCATATTTATGTGCTTTGACTTTGGTTAGTAAGATGAATTATGTCTTTATATTTTTTATATTATAAGTGGTTAAGCTTTATTCTGTTCTATTTATGCTTGTGAGCTGTTTTCCTCCCAATGTGAACTTGTATTTTATCTAAATTATTTAATTGCTTAAGTGTGAGAGCATTTCATTGATATTAAAGTTCTATGTCAGTAGATTAAACAGGCTTTCCAAATTTTTAATAACTGTAAATACAGCAGCTCTCTATCATAGTGTGAGTTATTGCCTTTCCTTGCTAATCTCATTTTAGGACAATAAGATTTTTATAAGAGAAGTTTTTTTCAAACTCAGCCAAATAAGTGTGAAATGTTCTTGTCGAGCTCATAACGTTGGCAACGTCTGCAACTTGATTATCACATTCCTGAAGTCAAACCAACTTCATCGATCAAAATGTCTCACCAGTAAGAGTTGGTCTTCTTCCAGACTTCAGTTTTAATGTCACAGTTTAATGCATAAAGATACCGAGCTCTTTATTTTCCAGAAAGCATTGGCAGGTATCATGCACAAATGTTGAACAACGCCCCTCCAAGCAGGCTGAGCGGAGCAGTTGTTTGAAGAGGCATTGTGTCTGTTGTGCATACTAAGCCTCGTAAGTGTGTTAGATTTGGACTTGAAACAAAATGCCCCAGAGATATGGTTCGATTCCAAGTAATGACATACAGTACAAAAACAGGACACGCCATTAAGAGTGCGTTTGAACTCCTCTCTTTGAGCTTCTTGGCCATTAGCCTGATTTTCCCTCAGTTATATTTATTTTTTTAATTTTCCTTCCTTTCCTGTTATTACGTTGCATCCTTAGTGCTAGCTGACAGCTTGTGTTTTAACATTTAATATTTTGTTTGGTGTGGCATGAACTTCAAAGGCAGGTAGGTTTGGAGACATGGGGGGGGCGTGCAGAATATATTCACTTCTCAGTTGAGTCCTGTTGAAAGGCACAGCCAGGAACTGAACCAATAACTCAATACAGCATCTTTAATCTGAAGCAGGGTATTATCCACCAACAGCTCAAACTGTTTTGCCATCACTATGAAGTCTTCATAGCTTATCATTCACCTATCTGGAGGTAAAATGATTATGTCATTGTTGGCCTTATTTATAGTTTGTTATAAATAGTTGTCAGGTTGTGTGTGTGCTATCTTAATGCAGTTTTGGTGTGGATGGATTTTATTGCTGGACATTTGGTGTTGTGTAGTACAAGGACACTTTTTAGGCTAGTGTGCCTCAGTTCAGGGTATGTGAACACTGGGGAAGGACAGGGTACAGACGGGAATTTATTTTTTAATATAAAATACTCGCTGATGCTCAAACAACTGGTGAAGGTCTGTGTTGGTGTGCTGATCCGTGTGAGTGACGGCTTTTAATTAATGGCCTTGTAAAGGGAAACCCAGGTGGGCCCTCTCTTCCATAGGCCAGCGGAATGAGGCACCCAGTGTTTGGGATGGTTTATTAATGCTTTGACTGGTTAGCCCAGGGTAAGAAGGACAATTAGCATTATCCGCTGCCATATGCTGCCCATTGAGACAGAGGCAAAAGACAAAAGCCCGGGCTCCTGTGCGAGGCTAACCTGAGATCTCCATGGAACTACTATCAACCCTGGGCACATGTGTAAACCAGAAGACCCATGAGAGCTCCACCCCTCCCAGAGCACTTTAATTACACACCCAGACAACAACACGCAGGAGTCCAGCTCACTCAGCAAAGCCCAACAGCCCAGAGTCTCACTTCGGCTGCCCTCTGCATTGATATTATGTTCACATGTGTGCTGCGAGTGCGAGCGAGTGATTAAATTTATATACTTTGGTCGTATGGCATATTTTCCATCAGCGCTGTGTCATAAAACAACTTTAGCGAGTAAACAACCTTTGCGGCCGTCATCACATCCGCAGGCGTTAGAAACCAACCTTTGAGGAGGGAGCTGTCATAATGCCAACATCTGAGAGCGATGTGAGGCCATTAAAAGACGGATTCATCTCGCGGAGCTCGGGACACAGGCTGGAAATGTGCAGGTGGAATTGAGCTGGCAGGTCTGGCTCTGATTAGTGTTACACCATGGTGGGGTCATCCAGTCCTGTCTGTGGGAGGGAGGATTTGTTCAAACCTTCTCTCCCTCCTTCCCTCCCTCGTGCTCTCTCTTTCTGCCTCACCCTCTCTCCCTCCATCTGGAGTGGATGAAGTCACGGACCACATCACTGGTGTTTGGCCTTCAGTCTCTTTGATCCTCCCGCCTAGCTTGGCACACACACAGCTGTACAACAGCATGCCCATTGTGCCTTTCCTTTCACTGTACCACCACCAGCTTGCAGGTACAAATATAAAGAAAGCAAAGCAGGCTGTTTTTGTACCACTTATTTGATTTCTGCCTCTCTGGGAATGCTGTAATTTGCCAGGCATTTAGACTATGCATGTAAACGGGTATCATTATACTTCCATTAGAGGTTGAGTTGATCTGAAATGCAAATACCCCTGATAATCCACTCCTCCCCTCACGAGCTTGATTGCTTGCTAGTCATTAAAGTGTGTTTGTGGTTTCAGGGTCATATCTGTAGTACATGTGCATGTGAGATCACATATTTTTATGTACCCCAAATTTTAATTGTGATACTGTACAAGAATTGAGATTTGAAAGCTGATGGCATTTATAGGTTTCAGCATCATTATAGTTGACAGTGGTGGACCGAAGGTTATCTAACTAATACTATTTATGTTCTCACTGCAGGTGTACGCACCATCTCCAAACTCAGAAGACTTCAACAGAGATTCACCTTCTTACTCGTCTCCTAAACCCTCCAGCAGTATGTTTGCAAGCACTTTCTTTGGTAAGTTCTCTGCACTATTGGATTATGGTAGTATTGGATACTAATACACCTTTTCCACCAAATTAGTTCTGGTTTTTGAACCATTTCCCTCCAGGAATTCTTGAAACCTTGGTGCTGTCTGGCAAAGCAACCTGCGTTTCCACCCGTGTTGAGCAGAACCATTGAAATGTGTTATCATCAGAGGGCGGTGCACGTTACACAATGGAAGTTAACAGTAGTAGCAAAATGGCGGATCATGTTGCAAAATTTTGTTCTGTTATTACAGATATTTGTTTTTACTCAAAAATCAAGCATGAACTAGCTAATAATGAGACCACGGCATGCTGTTTTTTGGTCTGATGATTTCATATTTAACTTCTCCATCGTTGCCTTCTCCGTCCTTTCTTCCCAACCTGTAGAATATGACATCCCCACTGATGTCTTCACAGTTCGCACTTCAGGTTAAGAAAAACCTGCTGTATTCTGGTTTCAGCTGTAAACCAACTTTTTGGGTTTTAGCCAATTTATTTTTGATGTAAATGCTCTAAATATTTAAAAAATAAGGTGCGGGAACCAGAACGAAGCCTGTTCTATGTTGGCGGAAAAGGGGTATAAGAGAGCTGTGCGATTGCTACGCTACAAGGTTTCAGAATTATATTACCATTACTATATTCTTATGTTCTAATATTTTCTGGTCTTGTGTATGAATAATTTGAAGTAGTGTTTTTATATTTAAATTGTTCTTGCCTTTGCTTTTTTGCAGTATTTATTTATTTATTTATTTATTATTAAGCCTGTGCTCAGTGTTTATTCCACTGTGACTGACAGAAGAGAGGACTTCTTCGTTGTTTTTTTCTTTGTGTTATCTCAGCTATGTTCAGGACGAGGATCATGTTTCAGTTCCAAGAGTAAACGGACCCCAACTTTTAAGGGTCGGGGGGGTTAGCCGCTGTCTGGCACTTTGTCAAAACTAAAATGCACGTTGTATACAATAATGCACTGAAATGATGCATTTATTATCTTCAGATGGTACCCACAGTTCGTCTGACCCTTGGAACTCGTCCAATGGGATGAGTCAGCCAGGCTATGGGGGAATGCTCGCTGGATCTTCATCTCACATGCCACAGTCAGGAAACTACAGCAGCCTGCACTCACACGACCGTTTGGTAAGGAGCACCTCTCAGCTGGTGATCCCTAAGCATATGAACAGCTGATAAATAATTGTTGGTTACTTTATTTTGCATCAGACTTATGTAAGATGTCTAATGTGTGTTGTTAAGCACATGCAAGATGTGATTTTTTTTTCTTTTTTCTTTGCCCTCACTGTTAGAGTGGGCGTGTACGTCTTAAATTGTTGTCTGGTTATTATCAGTGAAGACACTGCTGACCCTTTTTGTCAGTGTTTGATCTCTGCCTGCCTGCCTCAGCTGGCTGGGCATCACAGGGAGTCTGCAGATGCTGCCTGCCCTCTCTTTATCTCCGTCCCTCCCCCCAGTAACTTTAGCTTCATCGCAGCCTGGGAGATGTCAAAGGAGAAAATAAAATTCAGAGAATAAATAAGCTCTTTCTTTCTCTCTCTCTCTCACACACACACACACATTTGTGACTGAAAATAGAGCATTTCTGTTTCTTTATCTTCCAGAATTACCCCGCACACTCAGTCTCTCCAGACATCAATGCCAGTCTTCCTCCCATGTCCAGCTTCCACCGAAGCAACACCAGCACTTCGCCATTCGTCACTGCAGCGCACACCCCGTCCGTCAACACGGCCGATGGGGTCATGGGTACGTTCTCATATTAACAGTCCAGCTACCTGCTCAGAATGACTAATTCAATGGCCCCTGGTGTAATCATCACTGAGCATCCATTCTGTAAAAGTAGTGAGTCAGGCAGTTGGACAGCTGCTTTGTATACCGTGACCACTTGTCATTTGTCTGAGTTTGCTGTTATAAAGCCTCCCTCTGTGTTTTCTTAGCTGCTGCAAATCGGGGGAACGCCACTGGAAGCTCACAGACTGGAGATGCACTGGGCAAGGCTTTAGCCTCGGTGAGTTATTGCCCCAGTTCATTTTACTCCTCATTCATAGCATCAATGAATGTGTTTCCAAGCACACAAGTATCCTAGTTTTGGGTCTTATCCTGGTTCAGCATGTGATGTTTACATGGTACATGACACACTGTTTTTTTATATCCCTGTATACATTATTCCAACGTTTTCCAAGTTCTCGCCAATATTTGTGCAGTTAATTTCTTATCATCCTAGTGTCTTTGCTCTGTACCAACAAAGAACATTCAGAAGCCTGGATAAGGTGTTTACATGCCACGGTGGCCTGGCTTCAGGATATGCGGTTTACATGCACAACACATACTCCAAAAACCTGATCATAACCAAGATGCCCGTACACATGTAAACACACTCAATCTCTGCACACACACCCCAAATCTGGCCTTTTCTCGGGGTGTGAAGCTCAAGTCTAACTCCATTGCACCCATACTCTTCAATCATTTTTGGATTTCTCTGCAAAATAAAATAAATGTCTGTTTCCATCTCTAAAGAAGGTGACCTCAGTAATCATGCAGGGAATTAAGTGCTATACTGACTGCTGATTAAAAAAAAAAGCCCAGAGGACATGTTTGTAGTTGTTTTTGGCCTAAGCCTGGATAATTGTGGGCTTAAACTAAGAGCATTCAAGAAAGAGAATTGTACATTGAAAATACTCCTAAAGCCAGTGGATTACACTTCACTTTGGAAAACCAGCTCTGGATATTCGTGACATCCTGTAATGTATCATAGTAAGTGTTTAATTCATTGTAGGTCACATAATGGAAGGAAAATGTCTTGCATATAGTTGTGCACACATCAGGTGATGGATAGACTATTTGTTTTTAGTTCGATTCAGTCTCTATTCTTTGTTTTCTGTGCCTTAAAGCTCTGTCATATTATAGTTACAGTATAAGAGAAAGTCTTCAGTATTCACCTAAGAGGGTGATTTCCCCATTAAATGAAAAAGGACATTTAAGAGAAACAATCCACAGGGATAACCTTGAACTTAAACATGAAGTGAATGGGCAGATGTGACAAAAAAATACAGAGCTGAAATACAGGGAGTGATTTTTTGAGCTGAACAAAATCATTCAATCAAGTGTTGAAAGTAGGGACGCTACAAGCTGCTTTTGATTTAAAAAGTCTAAACCTTACAGTTTTACAAAAATGTCCTCAGATATTGTTAAACATGTTGCATAGACAATTTTAATTTCACACCCCCTTGGCACAAGCTATATGTTCAGGAGGAATATTTCTCACTAGCGTAAAGCCAAAATATGAGAGTTTAGGGATGGTAATAACAAATTAAGTCCTTTATATTTGCAGACTCAATTCTATTAGCATGACAAAGCTGGAGTGAAATGGACACGGTTGGACTGGGGTGGGGGTGGGTGGATGGAGCAGGGGGCACAGGGGAGTTTATAACTGCTGTGGCTCAACTCCACGGGCCGCCCTTTGTAGAGCTTTTGTTCTCCGCCCTTTTAAATTGGCCGTGCTTATTGGCCCCATGCCGCCTGCGGGAGCGTAACTGATGATGAGGCGGAGCTTTCATTTATTCCAGTAAAATGAGCCATGTTTCACTTTGAATGCAGCGTTAGTAGCCGGTGAGTGAAAAGAATAGAAAGTCATATATTGTCGGGTCAGAAGTCACGGTTATAAATAGCTTGCTTTTGAGAAACTGAGAAATATTTGGGTATATTTGTGCTTTCAGAGCGTAGAGAAGCATAAATAGTCAGTCCTCCCCTCAGACAACAGCCAATCCCTCCTCCTCCACACTTCAATGAAACCTCCATCCTGATACTCCAACTTGATTGAAAAACTAAAGCTCAGAGATCAAGATTGAATAAGGAGATTATTAATAATGAGTGCATTCTATCATCCCCCACAGAAGTCAAACGTTTTCCTGCAAGCTCAATTTGATCTTAACTTGGAGGAGAAATCTCTGTGGACCTGCTGTTTTTTTCCTCTGCTAATTAGTCAGGATCCACCAGTAATACCCTGAGTTCTCCGAGACATGTTCCATTATGGCATAATATCCTCTTATTACAGGAGGAAAAAAAATCAGGGATGTGTTTGTGCTTTAATCCAGCATTTGTTTAAACAAATGAAATCCCTGTGGAAGTTCTGAAGACGTAATCTCCTCGTTCCCTAGTGATTGACATCATCCTAAAACTCAGTGACCTCGGCATAACCTAACGGAGGATGCACTGACACAATGAAGCTACTGTGAATAGTCTGTCAGTGTAGAAATGAACCTGAAGTAACTTGTGGCAGAAATCCAAGGCATTTGCCCCAGTTGTCCTCTTCAAAGAGTTAAGAAACGTACAAAAATAAACAGCTTTTGAATCATACCAGATTTTGATATATGGTTCACAGTACAATATCTGGTGCAGGCTGAAATGCAGCCCTTTGAGATTTACTGTTGTTGGCTTAACGGGGTTTCCAGGTTGGGCGTCTGCACTTTTTGAAGCCACAGAGGAATAATAACCAGAATCACTTTCTATACAAGTGAGAAAAAACAAACTTTCCCCTGAAAAACTACAAGTTTAATAAGTTACTATGAGGATATGAGTCATTTCAAAAACAAGAAACTCTCACTTTTTACTCTTGTTGTATTTTAGTTGGAGCCAATTCAACACCAACCTCTTGACTGCAGGAGTGACCTTAATTCAACCTGTTACACTTTTTTATTTGCATGTTTATTTAAACACTAAGTTCAGTTTAGATACATTACATATAAGAAAAGAAAAGTCCAGTTTTAAGTTTTAAATTCAAATGCCCTCATACAGCGACATTAAAGGGAAACTTTTTAACCAACTCTGTTTCATTGCATGTCAAACACTGTTCATCTGCCCACACTGTGATGACACAGAGCTGGTTGAAATTAATTCCCCTTAAATTAAAAGAATTAAAGGTGCTGTCCAGATATACAGTATAGTGTTGATCTTCACCTGCCATTATCTGACTAATACCCCTTTTTCCACCAAAATAAGAGCATGTGTAGATTTTTTAAACACAGTATAACATGTTAAAATAGGCGATAAACTCCTTTTCATTGCCAGTAAACCAGCTCTGCAGTGGACGAGTGTTTCTGGTGTGTCAAGTTCGATGTCATAGACAGAACAGAAAACAGGTTAGAAAACAGTAGAAATCAGCTTGGAGGCCAGCGAAAATGTTACTTTTTATATGTCTTACTCATTCAGTCTCTCTTTTAAACTTGGTGCTGACTAAATACACGTCATTGTATCGCGTTGTAAAAGGGAGTAACATTAGCTTGTCCACCCGGATGTCATATTTCCATCACTGCAGATAGGAGCCAGTCGGAGCTGGAGCTGATTAATACCCGTGACTACTGCAGAGTCATTTGTACCAGGAATGAATGTCTATTGTAACCTTTCCCATAAAATACAAAAGTCAGATTTTAGTGGGTGTTAGTGGATTTTTGGCCAGTGGGAAAGAGGCTCTGCAGAAGGATACAGGAGCAAGACCCAGGTGAAAGACATCCAAGTGAATCCTGTTTATGGTTCATTTTGTTAAGGCCGTGCTCTGAGCACAGATGACTGTTAACGACTCACATGTATGCACTTAGCATTTTTATGACATCCCTGGCGGTAAAATCACCATAATTGATGATACATTTTTGGCTTGAAGATAGTAACAGCTGTTAAAGATCTGAAGAAACAGCGACCAGTGATATACAGTACAGGCCAAAAGTTTGGACACACCTTCTCATTCAATGCGTTTTCTTTATTTTCATGACTATTTACACTGTAGATTCTCACTGAAGGCATCAAAACTATGAATGAACACATGTGGAGTTATGTACTTAACAAAAAAAGGTGAAATAACTGAAAACATGTTTTATATTCTAGTTTCTTCAAAATAGCCACCCTTTGCTCTGATTACGGCTTTGCACACTCTTGGCATTCTCTCGATGAGCTTCAAGAGGTAGTCACCTGAAATGGTTTCCACTTCACAGGTGTGCCTTATCAGGGTTAATTAGTGGAATTTCTTGCTTTATCAATGGGGTTGGGACCATCAGTTGTGTTGTGCAGAAGTCAGGTTAATACACAGCCGACAGCCCTATTGGACAACTGTTAAAATTCATATTATGGCAAGAACCAATCAGCTAACTAAAGAAAAACGAGTGGCCATCATTACTTTAAGAAATGAAGGTCAGTCAGTCCGGAAAATTGCAAAAACTTTAAATGTGTCCCCAAGTGGAGTCGCAAAAACCATCAAGCGCTACAACGAAACTGGCACACATGAGGACTGACCCAGGAAAGGAAGACCAAGAGTCACCTCTGCTTCTGAGGATAAGTTCATCCGAGTCACCAGCCTCAGAAATCGCAAGTTAACAGCAGCTCAGACCAGAGACCAGATGAATGCCACACAGAGTTCTAGCAGCAGACCCATCTCTAGAACAACTGTTAAGAGGAGACTGCGCAAATCAGGCCTTCATGGTCAAATAGCTGCTAGGAAACCACTGCTAAGGAGAGGCAACAAGCAGAAGAGATTTGTTTGGGCCAAGAAACACAAGGAATGGACATTAGACCAGTGGAAATCTGTGCTTTGGTATGATGAGTCCAAATTTGAGATCTTTGGTTCCAACCGCCGTGTCTTTGTGAGAAGCAGAAAAGGTGAACGGATGGATTCCACATGCCTGGTTCCCACTGTGAAGCATGGAGGAGGAGGTGTGATGGTGTGGGGGTGTTTTGCTGGTGACACTGTTGGGGATTTATTCAAAATTGAAGGCACACTGAACCAGCATGGCTACCACAGCATCCTGCAGCGACATGCCATCCCATCCGGTTTGCGTTTAGTTGGACGATCATTTATTTTTCAACAGGACAATGACCCCAAACACACCTCCAGGCTGTGTAAGGGCTATTTGACCAAGAAGGAGAGTGATGGAGTGCTGCGGCAGATGACCTGGCCTCCACAGTCACCGGACCTGAACCCAATCGAGATGGTTTGGGGTGAGCTGGACCGCAGAGTGAAGGCAAAGGGGCCAACAAGTGCTAAACACATCTGGGAACTCCTTCAAGACTGTTGGAAAACCATTTCAGGTGACTACCTCTTGAAGCTCATGGAGAGAATGCCAAGAGTGTGCAAAGCAGTAATCAGAGCAAAGGGTGGCTATTTTGAAGAAACTAGAATATAAAACATGTTTTCAGTTATTTCACCTTTTTTTGTTAAGTACATAACTCCACGTGTTCATTCATAGTTTTGATGCCTTCAGTGAGAATCTACAATGTAAATAGTCATGAAAATAAAGAAAACGCATTGAATGAGAAGGTGTGTCCAAACTTTTGGCCTGTACTGTATATATATATATATATATATATATATATTTTTTTTTTTTTTTAATTTCGGGCTGCTGATGGTGCATCAATGATGAATCTTAAATTTTTTCTCTTCCTCTCTGCTCCCACAGATTTACTCACCTGACCACACTAGCAGTAGTTTTCCATCCAACCCGTCGACACCTGTGGGTTCTCCTTCACCTCTGACAGCCACAGCAGGTGCTGCCTCAGCAGGTACCGTGGTGACTGCTGCCGGTACCCCGTCTGGAAGGCCAGGTAGAGCAGCACTGTTGGATTTTCATCTCATACACACCTCCAATGCATCTACACCAGAGATTAACAGTTAAACAGATCTTTAGTGAACTACTTCATAAAGGCTTTTTTAAGGGCATGTGACAGACACACATCAGGTTGTGTTAGAATTAGGCCTTGAACTGAAATAGCCAAGGCTTTCATGAATATGCCTTTCCGTAATTTTATTACTGTTACTATGTGTTGCATTAGTTGGATTAATTAAAGCCTAAGCAGAGTGAAGTGTGAAGTTTCCCTAAAGCTTAATTTAATATCACTTTTAGCTGTGAAGGAGCTCTAATCATTCTCTACTCATTCTCCATGCTTATCTATGCCAGGGCAGTTAATGCCATTGTTACATTAATCCATTGTAAAAAATAAATCAAGTATTCAAGTATTTGAAATCGTACAAAAGGCCTCACTTCTTAAATTTCATTAAATGTATTTCTATCTATTTATTTAACTTTTTATTTGATAGTAAGCATAAGAATATGTAATGTAAACATGCCGGAGTTAGCAAGAATACTGATTAACATCCGTAGTTCCTCTGCAGTCCCTGAGCACACGGAGTGATGTGAGTTGTACTGAAAGCATGAAATCAGTGTTGTAAGTTCCACCTGCACGTTAAAACAGTGTCTGATGTGCTGGCCCAGTGTTCACAACATGGGCTTTACTTTCATGGCCAAGAGAGCTGCTCCGCATAGACTCCCGATGACATCACAGACTGGTTTTGGCTCTGAGCTTTTTATGAGGGTCTTTGTTCATGTTCATAAATTTAGATCTAGCTGACAAGTGATTTTGGAGTAACAGGACAGGAATTTGTTTTTAAGTGATGGGAATGAAGCTTTAATGACAAACCCTGGAATGACAGTGTAAATGAAAAAGATTGGGGCTGTGGCTTTTGGGTGCTTATGGATTTGAAAGTCTTGTAATGAAAATGTTTGAAGTGGGTCTTGAATTATGTTTTTGAAAAGCTTTTTTTTTTTGTTTTGTTTTTTGTAGAACTGTTATCCAAGTTTTTATGGCTTATAACAGCGGCTCATTGCACTCGTCCTACTTTGTAATAAGACACACTTTTTGGGAGTAGATTTATTTTTACGTAATCGTGTTTTTCCACACAAGTGCTTGGCAGTTTATGTTTTTATGTCAGCTTGATTTTTGAGGATGGGCAAACAAGACTCCCTCTGAATTGAATTTTTATTTTGGAACAAATGCAGAGAACAAAACCAGGAACGTAGTTTAAAGAAACAGTGCACAGCCCATACTCCAACCCCATACAAAAAGGTTCCTGTTTTTAATATATTGGGATTTTACAGTAAAAAGAGACGTGCGTAATAAGAATATGGATTGTCAGACGTGTTGACAGAGGCCCGAGAGTAATGGAAAGTGAATGAGGGGAAACAGTAAGGGAAAGCCCGGTGTGTTGTTTTAGCGGGCAGTTGTGTCATGTGTGGTAATGGAGTGGCGACAGCTGTCTCTACGTATGCCCCCCTCATCCTCAGCTGTTGCCCTGCCCCATGGACAGCTGTTCCCCCAACACACACACACACACAAACACACAGACCAGGCTGCAAAAGGCCTTGTTTATCTGCCAGTGGGTGAAGGAGGGCTGCTGTGACTCAGCTGATGATGAGGTCTATGACAGACTCACTTGGGGAGATCCCCCCTCTTGACCTATTTACAGTACAGCATGCCACACCTGGCTGCATAACAATAGAAGTGAAGTCCAGTTTATCATGCAATGTGTTCTGAAGTCTTTCCAAATGCTGTTATGTTATGACATCATGTAGGGCTGGGCAGTGTAGGGAAAATCAAATACAAGGATATTTTTTGGCCAAATACCTTTTTCAACATATAAAGATATTGTAGGGTTGACTTTTGGTGCTTTCACAAAATATGTACACAGTGATATTTCTATTAAAATATCATCAGTAATATGGATATAATGACTAAGGTAAGGTTGGGTAGGGTAAAAATAAGGAATAGAGCAGCTAGAACAGTCCTTACAATAGTATGATATCTAAAATCTAAGATGATATCTAGCCTCATAACGATACTGATATAATATTGATATATCGCCCAGCCTTAACATTATGTGTTGTTACAGGATGTTCTTATCAGTGTTTTAAGTTATTATGGAAAAAAAATCAAATTTAAAAAGTGATAAAAGTTCAGTGTTTATTTTTATTAATGGAATTCATATAACAAGTAAAAAACATACTGCAAAATGAATACACGTGGGATTTTTGGAAATGGATATCGTTTCGCTAATTATTCACCCTTATTACGCTTCTGGGATTAGAAAAAGAACGCTACTTTGAAATTGGCACGAAATTTGGCTCGCTGTTGAAAATCCATTCATCATTACGATTACACCAATATACAGCACATTACTCAAGACTGGTTTGTTCAATTAGCCCTCTCCGGTGCACGTGGGAACCAGAGCCCCGAGCTAATTTTTCACAGCCGCCAGCCAGCAGAGGCTCATGTGGAGTTCCTGTCTCACTCACCTGGGAGAAAGCTGAGGCAGAACAGAGGCTTTTTCATTTCCTCCTCCAAAGTCACTTTTAATAGTCTGTTAATTAAAGTCTGATATATCCAAGGCTGTGAGGGTAAAGAACACGAAAACTCCAGTACTGAAGTTTAGCGAGACATTTCATTGGAATAAATTAATGGAAAAACAGCTTCCTGAGATTTAGGGAGTCATTTTTCTTGTGTTTGTCAAAAATATACATGAGGTGTTTTTTTTTCTTTTTCTGTCACTGTAATTGTGCTGCGTTTGAAAACCACTGTGCTGAATTCAGTGGTTGATTATGTCTCTGACCACATAGGCCTTGATTTGTAAAATCAAACGGTTAACAATCAGGGCCCTGACCCACCAAGCTGACAGTTGGCCATTGGTCAATGTCGGGCCGTTCGTGAGCGTCTGTCGCCCTAGCTTTTGCAGTGTGTCCCACACCGTCAGCACTAGTTGGCCCTTGTCTTTTTTTCCCTGATAATGCAGCATGTTGAATGGGTGTCACAGATGGCAGAACCTGTCGATGAATGAAATCACTGATTGTCGGTTCAGTTAGAGCACAAGAAGAGAAATGGAAGTGAGGAAAGTAAACAAATGGCTCAAGTCAAGAGGGCATGAGATCGAAACAAACATGTTATATGAAGTAAAATTATTCTTTTAGCCATTACACTCTTGAATAGAAACAGTTCGTAATTGTTTGTGTTACTGTTCGTAAATGTTTCTTTAAAATCGGGTTGTGTTGTTAATGTCCTAACTGGCTAACTAGCGTCGTGAATCCATCCTCTCGGCCTTCTGGTTTCCCTTTTCAAATGACAAATACAGACTACCGCCATCTGCTGGTATGGAGTGTTATATCCTCTCATGTAGGTGCAGAACATATGTGCTAGTTTTATGATGTGTGTTGGCCGAGACATAAGTGACATGAGGTAGTGCAACAGTCAGCCTTTGTCACGACTAGTTCTTTAATGTCGCTTTGGTGTATCTGGGCCTTTAGGAGTAAAAATACTGCATCACTCTACTCACACATTAGACTCAGAATGCCATTTTACCCCTTGCAACTTTTTAATTACTCTTTGAATTAAGAAAGGATAACATTTTATCTCAGCCAGGCCCCTCTACTATAACTTTGTCCCCTCATCCAAGTCTGCATGTTGAATTGCCATGCTTTAGTAAGAAGAATGAGTTTATAGATTCACCCTATAGGATAAATAACCCAAACAAAGTCTCAATCTGCAGAGTGTGCTGCTGACTGTGGACTCTGTGTACCAGGATGTAGGCTGGGTTTGGCATCCATCCACCATAATAGGCACCAGTATAGCGCAGAGAGCCCTGAGCTGGAAAGGCCCAAAGACATTCTATCCTGTGAATAACCTGGAAAGGTTCATTATTGTCAGAGTCTATTAGGGTTATTTGATTGTATAATGCTTTGCCTCCTGTTGCACATGGCAGGCAGGTTATTTGGATGATTGTGTTTTAGGAAAGGAGAAAGAAAGAAATGTTGTCCTGGAAATGTGATGAGCAGATGTGGATTCCTTTTCCTTTGCACTAATTTACACCAGATCAATCCAGCTTGATTTGCTTTCCTGTACTGGCCCGTAGATTTACTTTTTGGCTCATATAAATGTACAACATCCACTGTGAACTTCATCCAGCCAAAGGTAAATTGTAATCTCCAGTGCAGAGTATCTAAAGTTTCCCCATATTAAGATTACATGATTGAAATGCATGATGTTTCATTTGGATTGAAAAGAAGAAAAGTGCAGCAGTAGATCTGGCTTCACGGGACGTACCGTATTAGTAGAAATGAAACAATGGAAGTTAGATGTTTCCAGATGTGTACGCCGTAAAAGACGTGAAGGCAAACTGATTGTGCTGCCACTTGGGCTGACCCAAATGCTTCGAAGCTTCAATTGTTGCCATGGTAATTGTTGACCAAATCAGTATTTGAATGCTCCGTTTATACGTATATTATTAAGTTATTCTCTGACAAGGACATTTAAACCTATTGATTATTTTGTGACTCCGACTCACTCTCATCTAACGTCAGTCACCAGCAGTCCAGCACTACTGAAACTGAGACTCTCTGACCACACGTGACAGGTTTACAGATGCGCTAGCACGGTGTTATCAAAGTCAGGCGTCTGGAATAGTTTCAAAATTTGTGAAGATGGCTCCCAAAAAGTCAAGTGCCAGATTCGCCAAAGAAATTTAGCTATCTAGCTATTATTGCTAATGTCTCTGTGACTTGCAAACTAACAAAGGGGCCAATTGTCACATTATTTCAGGTGCAAAAAAGTCTGACTTATGTCATCATCTGTCATTACCTGACCCAGAGCCCCCTCGCTGAAGCTTTGATTACTCATAGATATTTCTCACTGAAGCTACAATGCCCAAAAACTTGTATTCTGGACAGCTCTGATTGCCACTACATCACCAGCCGAATAAACTAACAGAAAAACTAAAGAGAAAGATAACACTGTAGTGGAAGAGTATGAACTTGACTGAACCCAGATGCTTGGCATATTTCTTTCATCAAAAGCCCTGATGAAGGCCATGAGCCGAATACTATTCAGCCAGGCCGCATTTTTTAAATCACTCCGATGTGTTTCTAGAGATTCAAAGTTTCCATGAAAGAGTAAGTGTGAGGGGAAACTAATGTCTGAAGTCAGATCTCCCATATTGTCCTCCAGCCTCTCACAGCTTTGCACATTAATGTGCAGATGCAGTGTACATTTCAGGGTGGAAGTGGGTATTAGACGAACCCTCCGCTGGCTCATGTGTCAGGATGCAGTCCAGCCATCAGGAAATGATGCAACCGAGTCCTAAGAGATAAAAATATCCCACATGGAACAACAAGAAACCAGAAAATCAGGATGTCAGTGTGTTATGGCTGCGTGTTATTGTGTGTGTCAGTTAGATTTTGTATTGGAGCAGGATACAGCTATCAGCCATGTTGATATGAAAGTGAATCAGAGGATTGACCTCCACTACATCTCTCCCTCTCTTCATCAGGTACCAACCAGTGGCCCCGTGCTGGTGGACAGACCCCCTCCTCTCCAAATTATGAGAACTCCCTTCACTCACTGGTAAGCTCCCTGTCTGCCTCCGCCTTCTATGATGGATGTTCACTTTGGATATGTTACCCGTGAAAGACTGAGCTAGCATTACAGGGAGATTCCTGTCTGACAAATGTTTTGCTGAGGAAGGTGGGGGTAGAGGGATAACCAAACTGAACAATACCTGTCCCTTGGGGCTTGCCATCTGTCCTCCACTCCGTGGGCCAGGACGGGGATGACAGTTGGGGGATGGGTTTCGTTCAGGGGGCGGGTGTGGGGGTGGCAGCTGTTTGCTGAACAACTTCTCCAGGATTCCTTCGCTGCCATGCGACCAGAGCAACAGCTCACCTTTCATCCAGCCTTTTACCTGATGCACGTCATGCATTTGTATTTTCTGCGAGGAGGTTTATTACAGGTGAAAGTACTGAATTATGGAGCCCTAAATAGAAATGTAACTATAAACACATATAACACAAAACAGTCTATATCAAAGCAAGACTCAAAAAAAGTTTTCAAAAGCATTTTCTTATTGACATTAGTGTCTATTTAAGTTATTAACTCACAGATGTGTTTGCCACAGTATAAAGCTACTTACTGTCAGAGGAAGCCAAACATCTTGAAACCCACAGGCCTTTGCTGTCACTTTTCATAATCAATAGACTTTTCAAATGCATGCTGCTGCATAGTCCACATGTTAAACACATTTATTGTTTCAAGTCCCCATAAAATGAAAGATAGATTTGTCCAGTTTTAATCCTATGTCCCTGTGTTAATTGATCATTTATCTTGTTATATTCACAATATATGTCACAAAATCAGCATCAGAGTTTTTTCACATAAATTCCCTGTCTTTTCTCCTCCTCTTTAAACAGGTATTTTAGTTTTAAATGTTTGATGACTCATCCTACACTGACGTTTACAAATGTTAATCAACTAAGACTTTGAGCGACTAGCTAGCTACCCATCATATATATGGATATCAGTCAGCAAAAACTTTGTTTTCAATTTCACAACAGTGTGATCTAATTAATTTATCTCTCCCTCGTCCTCCTACTGATCAAACGGCAAGGGAGGTCTGTGTCTGCTGTAGCTCTGTGTCACACCAAACTCTACGCCTGGCCACTTTTTTTTTTTAAAGATATTTTTTAGGGCATTTTTTCCCTTTAATTGATAGGATAGTGAGGTGTGAAGGGGGGAGAGAGAGAGGGAGAGACATGCAGCAAAGGGCCACAAGCTGGATTCGAACTCGGGCCACTGCAGAAACAGCCTTGTACATGGGGCGCCTGCTCTACCACTAAGCCACCAACGCCCCCGCCTGCCCACTTTTTAGCGGTCCAATCAAATTATTTAATTTAAATCCCACTTGTGACTGTACAAAGCTCAAATTGTCTGTTTTACCAGGAAATGCATAACAGCACAGGTGCTAAAGACACTCTAACTTACTTTTCACATCGACTAGATAAATAAATAAAATAGCTCAGAACAGGACTTTAAAAGGCCACACTAATTCCAGTTGCAGTCTTATCACATAGTCCCATTCAAACAGCTGATTGCATGTGAAGAGGATATTGAACGTCACCTTGTAAATGGTTCCTTCCACTCTTCCTCCGGCATTGTTTTATCTCTTCATGGCCACCAAAGATAAGTAAGACTACACAAGTGAAGCTAACAATGCAAGTGAATGAAATCAGATTACCGTAAAGTTAGCTGCTGATAAAACTAATGTGGAAACAAAAATTGATTCCCGTCCTGCTTGACATGATTTAGAACAGAAATGCAGCACTACAAGAGGTGGCTTATATATTTTTGAATTTTTAATGTTGTAGCTTATAGATGTTAGAATGGGTTTCTTTGACTTGTAGGAGGGAGGGCAGACCTGCAGTAGAGTCAAAGGTAGTAGCTTTTGCAAGTGGCAACATTAATAGATAAAGATTTTTAAGTAGTGATGAGAAAAAATAAGGAGCTATTTGAAGCTGTTTAAAAACACGTAGGGTCCATGATGCAAATGTTCACTGACACCAAATTTCTGGACAAGGGAATGACTGCAAAAAGTGAAATTATCTGCATTTCTTTGTACTTTTCGGTTAACCATTTTACTTTCTGTTAGTTGGCCATTTACTGACCAGCATACTCCTGGTTGCCAGAGGGTCCCGTTTATCACATGTAAACTGTGGTGAGCATCATCTTCTTGCTGGTGGAGAAACTTTTGGATGAGTGCGGCCATAAAATCTGTGAAAATCATTCATCACTGTGCATTTTTTAAATCTAAGCTCTAAATATACAAAACATTGAGCCTTAAAGAAACACAATGCAGGAATTGTCAGCTACTGATTGTAGACAGTATCGCCAAGTGAAAGTGAAAGCCAACCGCTGGGCGTTTTGCCTCGCTATATTTGTGGGTTTTTTAGGCACTAGTGTCCTCCGTTATTACAGCTTTCTCTTCAATGCATACTGCTTAGTCTGGTACCTTGTCACTACCTTTTTATTACATCCAACCCTCACCTGCACGCTGTGCACAGGATCATCCCAAACACAACGAAAAAAAGAAGAGTATCAGAAAATATAGGCAAATGGCAGAATTTCTGCCGATAAATCCGCTGCTACACACTTCTAGTTGGTCATTAGTATACCTTTAAGAATGCTTAGTCTTTGCCCAATGACTCCAGAGCCATTAGGCTTGTAAGTGGTTAAATATTATTTAAAAAGATTCTCTTACAGTTTTTAATGAATGAAATATTCCACTGGCAGGCAGTGGAGGGGAGTGATGACATAATCTCAGGATTCGCTCAAGAGTGTGTAGAGATAAAAGCATAGATCACAGTTCCCTTGTAGCTGAGTCAGAAACTACTTGGAAATTTGGAAAGCCCCATCGCTTCTAGGAAACAGTGATGAACAACTGTCTAAACATGTGAGCTGAGGATTAGATTACACTCAAAATGACGGATCTCCTAAGTGAATATGTTTATGTTAGGATGGGAATTATCAGTATCAATTTCTGTGAATTAGCCGCTTTTAATAAGAAACACTCGTGTAAAGTGATCTGTTGCGTCATATCACTTGAGTATAGTAAAGGCACAGCTGGATATGATGACTAAAACAATGCAAAGTAATATCATGCATCATAATTATATCACTCAAGGGTGATATGGGACAATGGAGAAGGCAGCTTTTACAAATGATTTGTTTCAAGAGAGAAATAAAACTTGGGGGAAAAGAAACTTTTGTGCATTGTGTTTAATATAATGTGGAGGATGTGAACTTTTTGTAACACCCCCTACAAACCCAAAGAAAAGAAGAAAAGTCCAATACTGTAGAAGGGGTTATTAAATGTGCAAACATCCTTACAAAATGATGAATAGTCAGCATCTGTGTGCTTCCCTCCAAATCCTGCCCGTCTTGTCTGTGTGTCTTTACAAAAACAATCTTTATCCACAGTGTGTTTCTAGTATTTATAGATACTGATCTTTTTTCATAATCCTGTCTTATTCTTATTTGACTTTGCCAGAAAAACAGAGTTCATCAGCAGTTACATGAGCATCTCCAGGATGCCATGTCTTTCTTAAAGGATGTCTGCGAGGTACTCTTCAGACAGAGTCTTTACTCATTACGTGTTCCATACGTCTTTGCATTTCTCATTTTGTTTTTGACTTGCAGTTCACACACCTCACAGTGAAATACACTTTCATCTTTATTGCCTTTGTTGCCATATTGTCATGTTATGTTTTAGCCGTTCCAGCTTGCAGTAATCAGCTTAAGTTTTGCTTAAATGTTAGATATTGAATTAATTGTTGAAGCACTCCTGATGTACATCTGTCCATTGTGCAGTTTCACAGAAATAATGGCATTTGCTGACTCTTACAACTCAAGCTGAAACAGCTCTATTGATCTTGCATTTGAATTGCCTTCTTTATCTTGTGTTTCAGATGTTTGTTCTTTTTCTTTTCAAGTCCACACCATACAATCAGTGTTTTCAATTTTTGTCCTAATGTGCTTATACTAAGCTGCTCTGTCCTTCTTTTCCTCTCCTCTCCCTCTCCCTAACCCTTCACTCTTCAATCCCTCTGGTCCTCCCAGTCGCGAATGGAGGATCGTCTGGACAGACTGGATGATGCAATCCTTGTTCTGAGGAACCATGCAGTGGGCTCCACCGCCAGTCTGCCCAGCGACATACACACTCTGCTGGGACAGGCACAAAATGGGCCAATAGCAGCCCTTGGAGCAAACTTCCCCGCCTCTGCATTGGTCCCAAGTCGGACAGCAGCGATGGTAAGAGTATTTCACATAAGTGTTTAGATCTTTAATTTTATATGGATTCAGGATAAAGTGAAGGAGAAAACTGATTTCTGTGGTGGATGTGTGTTATCTGTCAAACTTCCCAACGCAAAAGGCCTTGGCCACCTGTTCATACAGGTCCGCTGCCATGTGTAAAAACTAGACATTTTCCACACATGAACAGTTGAATTTATCCTGACATATTTTCCATAAGTGTCACGGCTGGCCTAAAGCTCACCCTCCTCTGGAGAGCGGCTGCATACACAAGGGTGAAAGAGAAATGAGAAAAACAGACGTAGTGGAGTGAAGTTGCGCTTTGGTGTAGGAAGTGTTTGTGTTGCACTAAACCTCTTGAGAAACAGGAGAATGCAGGTCTCTGTATAAATCATGATGTGTTCACCCATCCTCCATCCGAGGTATTTCATGCTACAGAGCCAAGAGATTTGAACACATCTGCAGTGGAAAATAGATACGGCAGCTCGTCCAACTGCAATCCAGAGGTGATTAGGAATAATCATTTTCACACACAATAAAAAACAACAAAAACAATGCTGTATTGGTTTAAAGAGTTCAGATTACTTAGATTAGAGTATTAAAGTAGAGTAGATTAGATTATTTATAAAGGTACTGAATGCAAATGATGGAAGGAAAAGTCTTAGACAATTGAACAGAAAACATGTTTCATGACCTGTATTTTTTATATTATTATTTTTTCACTCTCTTAAAGACATGGTCTTCTGATGGAAATTATATGCTCCCATGAGTAATATTAAGTTAGTCAGATGTCAGCGGTCAGAGGAGACCAGAGCAAAGCCATACATGTGCACTACTTTCATTATTAACTTAAAGTGTACACATCAGAGTGCACATCTCCTCCAGGAAACCAGAAATGTGGATTTATTCATCTTGTATGATGCCTAACATTAGTGGATCATAACATATCGGGTGCAGATGCTCCAATTCAAAATGAGACAAAACTTCAGACAAAATTTCAGCTTTTGAGCCATGACGAAAGCCAAAATGCTGCTTGCAACAGAAGGTAAGGCTTGATGTTTTTAACTTAACCCTTTGTGGAAAATTTGCCGCCTCTACCAGCCAGTTAGGAGGAATGAGGAGTCGGCAGTCAATTATGGTATAAAACAGTCAGTAGAACAGGTTTTTCAACAATTGGGAATCACCACAACCACGAGAGCTTACAGTTATAAATGTGCACACAAACTATTAGGCTGACTGGTCCAGTAGTTTGTGAGATTAGCTGTGTACACGCACACACAGACACAACTAACCGTATGATCTGGAGATAATCAAGTGCTTTGTCTGTAAAATGTCAGAAATGAGTGAAAAATGCCCCTTACAGTTTCCCAAAGCCTAACATAATTGCTTCATATTGCTTGTTTTGTAAAGTGACTTAAATGATTAATTAATCATCAAAGTAGCTGCCAATTATGATTCTGTTGATCAGCTAATCAACTTTTCCTTTCAGCTGGAGCGCTGTTACATTTCTCCTGTTAACCCAGCCCCAGGCATCCAGCTGACATGAAACACATATTTACTATTTTCTCCTGATGCTAATTTGAAATTTAGTGCAAATAAAAAGAAGAATGAGCCATGTTTTCATTTAGTCAGACATTTTTATGTTTATTTTTCAAAAAAGGTTTCACTTGTGTTTTGTTGGCATGAACATCAAAGCTGTGCTGTATTTTCTGGTCCAACTTCTAATCAGGATTTCTTCTGTCCCTCTCTGGTCTGTGGTCTCAAATCTCCTTTGTCAACATTAATTTATTTTGAATACAGTTAAAGTTTCTTGTTTGTTGTGAGGCTCTGTGTTTTCTGTTACTGGCTGTTTTCACTCTGGTACTGAAGTTGGATCTTTTGAGCTTGTTTTGTCCCCTAACAAGAATTTTCTTGTGGTTGTCAGAAGAGCTCAGTTTGATGTATTTGTTACAGAGAGCTTGGTTGTGGCAGTGATGTTGACCGACTGCGACTGTGAGATAGAACATACTGTGTCTGCACTAACACAGCACTTCCTGTGTGGGAAGAGGTCCCCTCAGACAGAGCTCACCAGCCTCGGCACGGCACAGCCACAGGCTTTTTACTCAGGCTGACACCCCGCCCTCTACCCCCTTCCACCCCTTTTCATCACTTCTTTTTAACAACCCAGGAAATCTGAATCGTTGGAAACGTGTGTCTGAACCCGCGGCCTCCACCCAAATAGAGGTCCTCAGCTGTATGGTAATCAGGCCCAGCCATGAAAATGGCAGCGTTCTTTTCTTGCCAGAGCCCCAGCTTCCCTCCTCCTCCTCCTCCAGACAAAGAGTTGTTTGGACACCTGTTGAGAGCACAGCAAAGATTAGCGTAGCGCTGAGGAAGGGGAGGGTCTCGGGGTGGCGGGGTTAACAGAGGCCAACAGTGACTGGGGATCACATTCCTTTAAGAAAAGGAGGGGACAGCCTTCACCCTCAGTGACGATTTCCCCGCCTTTCCCCTGGTTCTCAGAGGGGATATCAAATAGCTGAAGAACATGTGGTAAACCTCAGGAAGGAGGGACTCTGTGGTGCAACACGGTGGGAGTTGACCATTTTAATGTTATGAATGTGGACAAAATAAGACGGAAATGGCCACACTGTGGAGTGGGTTCGGCTTGACATCTTTTGAAACAGAACACAAGAGGATTTGTCTCATTTTAGACATGAGAAACAGACGTCGTTTTAGTTGTGGTTACAAACAACAAAGTCTAAGAATGTCAGCAGCAGAGATGTTTTCATAATGTATCATGAAGGGGGTCTTCTTTTGAAATATGATTACACAGGTGGCGCTTATTCTGTGTATTTCACTGTTGGTTATGCCCTCTACAACATACTACTGTGATCACCAAAGCACCAAAGCACCCCCGTGTTCGACATGACTGACGTGAATGAGTTTTTGAACCATGAACACATTGTTTTCCCAAAAAAGCCTTTTATGTGAATACTTAAATCTTTTAATACATACAGGCTGTCAAACAGCATCAAAGAATGTTAATAATTAACTGTTTAACTGTTAATCAACAAGTAGAACTTTGACGGATCAATACTGCCAGTTAAACTGTTAAAAATATATATTAAATATAATATACTAGTGCTACAGGGGGAGATGATGAGACAGCAGAGTCTTCTGCCCAGGTTACAGTTGTTGGCCGCCACCAGGGCAATGCCATCATGTTGCTCCTGGGAGACAGCCACAGCACCCCTCACCAAGCCAGTGACCTCGAGACACAGGTGGGGTGGACACCTATATGAGAGACATTCGTCCCTCATTCTCTGACTAGATACCAATCCTCCTCACTGGTGGAAAAGGTTCAGCAAACTTTCTGTTGCTGCCATTACACAGAACAGTCAGTTAAATGTCTGCCTGGTTAGCAGAAGCCAACACAGCGGCAGCTAACATCCGAGACCAAGCAGTTAAACAGTCCTAACAACCTCAAAACCTCTCAACACCAAAACAGTTCGTCCCATTTTAGATCTTCAGGATTCTATTAATCTCTCTTCTCTTGCTCAAAAATATAGTTTCATGAAATGTCTTCAGAGAATGTCTGCTTCCTTTCTTGACAATGTCCTTCCTGTCTGTGTTGCAGCAGGGTGGTGCCCACACTGACGATGCTGCCAGCCTGAACAATAACCACGGAGGCCTGCCCAGTGCCGGCTCCACTTCCAGCACAGAACTCAACCACCAGGTGGAAACATTCAGAGGTCCGACCCACCCCCTCAGCCTTATCAACTCATTATATGGCTCACATAACATGACATGGGCATGGCTCAGTTTATGTATAATGCCTTACATTTACATTGTCTCTTTCAGGTCTTGCTTCAGCCCTGGCTGGCCAGGTGCCCGCCACACTGGAGCTGAAGGTGGAGAAACAAGACAAGGATGAAATGAATGATAACCTCTCCAATGAGGACAAGTCAGATGACGAGAGCGACAGAAGAGATATGAGAACACCCAGAGCAGGCACACGCACAAGGTAACAACAGAACACAGACAGACATTCATTTTCCAAAGATAAAAGAAATTTAGTGTTTAGCTAATAATAATTTGAATTTAAAAGTGTTTAAACCACCCCAAATCTTGAGGATTGATTCTGTTTTTTTGTTGCTGATGTTGTTTCATTTAGCGATTTAAATTGATGTTGTGTAAAGATGTAACACACACTGAGCGAGTATCAGGCCTGAGCAGTAACCCGCATGTAGCAGAAAGTTGTCGCCAAACCATGACTATGTTGACATGCACATAATATTCCATGTTTTTCCCTTATTTCTGAAAACAGTATTCCTCTTCCACTAATGTTCCTATCTACCTGCAACTGAGTGTACTACAATTAACGCATCCTAACATGTAATTTATCATGTGAAAACATAAGTGGAACAGCCGGAGCCACTTTTGCCATTTTCCACCGGTGGCGGACTTGTTAAATCGTGCAAACACAGATTCCCCCTTTTATTTCTTCAACCATCCTCTTGAAAAGAAAGTTGTTGAGTTATTTGTGCATATCCAAAAATCTGTTGATATCCAAGTCTTTCATAAATTTTGGGAATTTTGGGAATCCATCTCTACTTAGCCTTGCAAACTGTTTGCGAGTTGGTTTGTGCACAAGGTATCCATGATAATGCACAGAGCTGGTCATAAACAGGCGAGAGCCTAAGTGTCTCAAACTGCCGTACAAACCCCATTTGAGACGCATATTCCAAATGCACTGTATACATGTCCAAAGAATGCTCCTAAAACCTGAATATTGATATATCCCACGTCTTAATTGGAAAATGCTTCATTTGAAGAAGGCCTGATTTCGTAATATCCAAATGTAATATGATGTTTACATGATCTGTATCACATTCATAATATTGTCATGTCAATAATAGTGGAATATTAGTGTGCATGTAAATTTAGTCAGGGACATTAATCTGGGCAGGTAGTACATTACATAATTTTGAAACAGATTTCACTGTACACACCTCAAAGACTGCTTTCTGTGAGGTCAGGGCAGAATCGCATTAAAATGTTTAGGGTTAAAATGCTGAATTCTCTTTCAGCATCACAAAAACAAAAATCAATAATCTTGCTTTTAACAAGGAACACAGTGAAAAGGAAATACCTTAAAGCAATCATACTGACGCTGACAAGTTGAGTGTGGACAGCCACCCTCCTGTTCTTGTTATTAATCTTGCAGCAGTAGCAATAAGTAGGAAAGCAAACATTGAAACTGAATTACATGTAGCCTCAGGTCAAAATATAAATCTGTGTTACGTTATATTGATAAACTGTCACTAACAAGTATGCGTGTCATTAATTTTGGTTAATTAAGTTGACACATTTAATGTTGTTTTTACAAAGTGTGTAATACTTAACGTAGCTTGCCGCTTGGTCTTTCAGCCTAATGAGTTCACATTATTACAAATCGGTTGCTAATTATGAGCTGCGCCTGCACACATGCATGCGACCGTGAGATTGTTTCAGTGAGGATTATTTTGTCAGGCTGTGGCACACTGGTGGCCTGGTGGTTTAAGGCAACGAACATGAGCCGTGAAATCATCATGAATGCATTAAAAGTGAATTTCATTACTGAGGTGTATTATAGGTGGTGAAAGTGACTGTTGTGATTTTTTTTAAAGATATTTTTAGTGAGGCAGGGAGACGTATATTCTTCTCAGTTTCATCATTTGTTGTTGAACTGTAAAAACAGTTCTTTCTCCCACAGTATCACTGAAGACGAGGACCTGAACCCAGAGCAGAAGGCTGAGCGTGAGCGCGAAAGGAGGATGGCTAACAACGCCCGTGAACGCCTAAGGGTGCGAGACATCAATGAGGCCTTCAAGGAGCTTGGTCGCATGTGCCAGCTGCACCTGAAAAGCGAGAAGCCCCAGACTAAACTGCTCATCCTCCATCAGGCTGTGGCCGTCATACTCAACCTGGAGCAGCAAGTCAGAGGTCAGTGTCCAGCTGATGACAGCTTTACCCTAGAATTGTAGCAAATGACTAAACTGTCAGCGCTATATCACATCTAATCAATACTGATACTTGAAAATGCTTCACGTCATATTCCTGCTGGCAGTAATTTCAGTTTAGTGTCACATCCAAAGAGAAGACTGTAAATGTGGAGTTATAAAAAGCAGAACTGCAGTAAACAGAGCTGCAGTCTGATTTATGGGGAGCTAATTCACTGACAGAGCTGCCAAATATGGATACTCAGCCAAAAGATCATAACACCAGCAGAGAAACTGCTGGGAAGCCATTCAAGTGTTAGAGTACACTATACTGATGTGAAACAAATATAAAGAATGCACGTCCTCCAAATCAACTTATTTCAATCGGTGCTGACATCAGAGGGAAAACTTGAGAAATCAGGATTTGTCGCACACAATGTATTGCTGCTCCTGTGCTTTATTCCCACACCAAACAAATAAGCAACGTTTCACCTCACGTAGGAGGCTTCATCAGGCTGCTCAAGCCTGATGAAGCCTCCTATGTGAGCAGCAATACATCGTGTGCGACAAATCCTGATTACACTATACTGATGACCTTCTAGTTTGCTGTAGTATTACACTTACAGATATTAAAGCTAGTAAATCAAAGAATGTATCCCAATAATGCCTCTCAATGCTTCATTCACTCACAGAAAAGTTTAATTTCTGTCTCTCTGATCTCACAGAGCGGAATCTGAACCCCAAAGCAGCCTGCCTTAAGAGGAGGGAGGAGGAGAAAGTGTCTGGGGGCTCCGGTGACACCCAACAAGCCCACACGGGGGTCCATCCAGGCCTGACTGACACATCTAACCCCATGGGCCATCTCTGAGTAGCAGGTTTGTACTCTCACCTCCAGGGCTGCAGCTATCAATGGTTTTACATATTGATTAATCTGATGATTAGTGTCTCAAATACCATCAGTTAAGAGAAAGCGATAAAATAAAAACTATTGACTTTGCTGAGATCCTAAGATGATTGATACTTAATTGCTTGTTTCAGAGGTTTTTAATTGTTTTGTGTTTTTTTTTTAATTTTGTTTTGTTGTTTTTTTAAATCTCTTTTACATAGAGAATTTTTACTTTTTTCACTCTGTCTATAAAATGGTAAAAAAAATTGTCCCTCACAGTTTCCTAAAACTCAAAAATATTTTGTTTACAATGATGACCAATAAAAAAATAAAACCGATAAAAGGAGTTACAACTACATAATGTCTGGCATCATTGCATGATAAACCACTTATAGACATTTTACATAGACACGTGCCAGCTTTTCTTGATTCAGTTTGACTAGCTTTGACTCAGCCCAGCACAGCAGGAATTTGCATCTCCATACAGTAGGTCTACCTGCTTGAAGGTGTGTCTTTAACTGATGACACGCTTGTGTTTGTGAACAGAATGCTTTCCTGTCCATCCTGCTGGTGTTGTTGTGGATAACATATTTCTTGTACTGTTGTTGGAGGCATTACAAAAGAAAAAACAGTCAAGTAAAAAACACATACCCATGTAAACATATGCACAAGAACACACATAAACAGATACCTACATACATATAAAATATTTAAAGGAACAGTTGAAGAGATTAAAGGCCTAATCATGGCCTATCCTATTATGGTCGACTACAATAAGATGTAAGCACATTTAGTGCAGCATGCACCACATGTGGAGTTATCAATAAAGTGTGGGAGTCGAGCTTTTATATATTCCATGAATGGATTCCAGATTCTCATAAATTTATCAGAAGAGCCATTTAATGTGAATCATAGTTTCTCAAGTTTGAGGTGTTGCATCACTTCCCTCAACCGCTGAGTCCACTTCAGTGGAGGAGTTTTTTTCAATTATTGCTCGGTGATGCATTACTGTCCACTGGATACTGGATTGCTTGCTTGCAGTGTCTCAGAAGTATAGGTGCTGTCGGAGCACACTGGAACAACGCTCTGCCACTATTTTCCACCAAATGAGGGAATTTAATATTTGTAGTTTGCATGATTTGGCATAATGCATTTTGTTCTTATTTTAAAAGTTTATTTTCAACTTGGCACAAGATGGCGCACCTAAACTGTTGATGGAAACACAAATGGAGGCAGCATAGTTTGTCTCCGCGTGGCCAAAAGTGCCATTTGAAAAGCCATATTAGTTAATAATCAATAAGTTGCAGATCCATTGATGTTGTGAAAAAGAAGGATTATTGGCTGTTTGTTTTATCTCTACTTACCTCACTGCAATGAAGAGACTTTTCTATAAACACATAAGTAGTGATAATGGCACTTTAAAATCAACCATTTCTTATAGTCTTGATCCTCAGATATGAGTAGAAGTTGTTTGTACCTCGTGTGATTATTAATGAGCATCTCTGATCAGCATATTTCCTCCTTCCTCTCTGCAGATCAAAGTGATCCACATCATTTCTGTCCCGTTTGAGTCGGTGACCTTGCTTCCCAGTGACAGACAGGACTCACAGTTTGTGACACCAATCGGAGGAGACAGACCACTTGAAGCAAAACTACGAGACTAACACAATCCAATCCTAAAAGACTGAAGAGGAGCAAAGTGTCCAGCTCCCTGTGACCAGTTTCCATCTGCAAATTACTCCCCACAATGAAAAAAAAATCTTCAGCACATATCACTGTCTGCAAGAAGTGTTGTTGCTTCTGAACAATCAGAGACTTCGCAATCTCCTCCAACCGTACGTGGAAATTGCCTTGTGCCTAAACTGAATTGACGAATGCATTGTAACAGCAATTGTTTTGTTTTCTTGTCTGTTTCTTTTTTTTTCCTATTTATTATGTTATTGAGCTATAAAGTGTATGTCTAAAGGGAAAGTTGAGTAAATTCAAAGAGAAGTATGCAGCTTTTCAGTCGATCTATAGTTTGCCAGTGTCACCGTTAAAACTGAGAACTCCCTGGTAATTCTTCGGTGAGTCCGAGATGGAGGGGAAAAGATTAATTTAGTGGCCAGTGTAGAGTGATATTTATACCCAACTGAAAATGATCATTAGCTGTTAGAAATGAAGATGCGAGTGCCCCATTTAAAAATGAAAAAGAGGATATATTATTTATATTTATATTTAATTCAGCCACTGACCACGTGTAACCAAAACTACCTATGTGTTTGTTTCTGTGTAGTTTAGATCTGTGCTTCTGACGAGCAGAATAATACTGTCGGCCCGACTACGTTAGCGTCAAAGATATTGTCTGCAGAGGTGACAGACGAACGGCAAACTCTAGGTTTACTGAAAGCTCAAATGTAGTTGTGTTTTTTTTTCCTCAGTAGTGAGCAGTGAAAATACAGAGAGCAAACTATTTGCAAACCTTAGCATTCCCTGCATATTTTTAGTGTCTTAACTGAAGGAACAGGGGACTTCATTGCCCTTCCCTTTGCCATATAGTGTTAAATGTAAGCAGTGACATATTTTTGCAGATTCCTGTCTTTGTTTAGCCTCCTGACAGTTACACGCTCCTGACGTCAGCACAGAAGTGGCTTGTTTTGTTTTTATTTTATGGTCCTTTTTCCCGCCACAAGCTAATCAGAGATCGCTTGATTAAGACATAGTTTAAAGACGACGACGACCACACTTTCTCCTGGCCTGATGAACACATCACTTCATTTTCTTTTCTGTTAATATCTCAAGACGTGAAATTTCAAACGCAGTTATTCTGAGTACAATTTTTTAGTTATGCTTATTTGTGTTATAACAGGTAATTTTCTTTAGGCTTCCAGCATTATAATGTCCAGTTACAGTCAGTGGAGAGGAACCTCTAAGTTATTTTTCAATAATGTTTTCAATCCAAGCCGTGATATACTCAATACAATAAGCCAGAGTAGATATGTCATGAATTATGTTGAATATCATAGAACTGTAGCACAATAATGAACAAAAGCAGTTAACAGGATTTTTTTTATGTTTCGAGACATTGTTCATGGCTTTATTTTGTTTTCCCTATCAGTGTGCATGCTTTACGTTTGTCTTTGGTCTTAAGACTTGCTTTATATTCCATTTATTTCTTTGTATATTGTCTTCTGTCATTATCTACACCTTAAACAAGGCTGCCACATTCAGAATAACTATTCTGTACAAAAAAGGGACTTAAATTACAAGACATGATGCCACACCAAGAGTTTACATTGAAGTTTTTTGATTTAAAAACTTTGTTTTTCCGGGGGAAAAAAAACCTTGAGCATTTCTGTGTATTCTCTGACTGAATGTGGCCTTGTTCTTCATTTCAGTATTCATGAGTTTGTATTCATGTTGGCAGACTTTGATTGAGGGTATAATGTATGTCACTTCCTGCTCTTTTTTATTTTATTTTTCCTGTTCTTCCTATATTTCTTTGCTCCTCTGTTTGCCAAGTTAGACTTTGCTGTAATCCCAGATGCTTTCCCTTGTATAATATATGAGAAAAAAAAGAAAATCAAAAGGAAAAAAAAAACATTTGGCTTATTTTTCACTGTAGTTAGTCTTTTATACAATAATACTGTAAGAATATTTCTTGAATTCTAAATATTACTCTTTCTAGATTTTTGAAAGCAAAAGTTTTGAGTAAAAAGTTTCTTACTTTATTTTACTATATTAGATAGTAAAACGTACGGTTATTTACAATAGCCTGTCCATTATTACAGTAAATTTAAAAATGGTATCTCAAGAACATAGCTGAATTGTTGCTCGTAGCGCTAGTACTTCAAAAGGCTTTGTACGAGCTCCAGATTCCTAAAACTTTGACCGCCATCTTATTCTCCAGTCTCTCGTTGTTGATTGATAAACAATTTGTTCTTGTGTCAAACGAAAAGGTATTGTCGATACACATCAAAAAAGAAACAAACAAACAAAAAAAAAGACTGCGGCAACGAGCATTTGAATTTTCTGTCTTTTTCAACAGAAAAACACAATGTATATAACATTTATGTTGCAATAAATGTGCCATCTTTTTTTAAAATCAATTGTATGTGCATTTATTTCTCTCACCCAGCAAACACATCTGTTTCTGTTTCTGCTCCATATTTGCATTTTCTGCTCTCCATAAAGTTTTATTTTATGAAAAAGGCACAGGAAGGATGAAGTAGGACGAGCTCAGAAACACGGGGATTAATTTAGACTTCCTTATTGTTTTTTTGTTTTTTAAGACATTTCTACAGTGGATTTAGGCCAAATGAGTGTTTTATAGTATGTAACTCATTTTTGAAAATAATACCAGTGGACCATTGTAGTCTGTATGAAAAGTACTATGGATATATGTTTCTATTTTTAATAAAGTGTGATAGCAGCGTACTGTACTTGTGCTGTGGTCCTACTTTTTTTACATTAAGATGTCAGCAGGATGAAGAAGAGCTACAGACAGGTCCTGTGTGAAAGCCAGTTCAGCAAAAAGGGAATGCATGAACAGGGAAAATAAATGAACATTTAGAGTACATATATTTTATCTTTGATTATTAATTCAGTGTGAATTTATATCACAAGTAATATTGTTAATGTTTCTTATACTGAGTGTCAGCATGCATCATGTAAATGTAGAGGCAAGAAATAATGAAAGTGAGCTGAAACTAGTGCAGGAGTGAAGTTAATGCAGGCATTATGAAAAGAACAAACCTAAACTGTGTTTTCTAATATTCGTTTTTGTACACCGCACTTCTCAATCTGCTACTTGTGCTGTGACTGAAGTTAATGAATCCCAAAAGTGTTGTGAAACTGCTGCTCCAAACCTGGAGGACTGCTGTGCTGTAAATCTCAGACCCCCGTACATCTGCACAAAATTATCCTTGTGCAGATGCGAGCATGAGAGTGCTCATCACGTCCTGAGAGGTCTGATCCCAGTTCAGTTCTCTGACAGAGGTGACACCCGGAGGAAAAAGTGCTGACTGCTGTTCAGCCTGTGGTGAGCTCAGTGATGCAATATAAATCATGACATGTCATTTTTCAATATTCTCTGCAGGGAGGAACAGAGCGTGTGAGCATGTTGGGGTGGAGGTGGTGCTGGTGGGTATGCATGTGAGTGTTTTGTGTAGGAGTGGGACCACCATGTCAGAAGGCTGACTTCCTGTCATGGCTGCTGGGCCAGCTGACAGAGAGTCCTTGGCTCACATCCTTGAAGCCCGACCATAGAGGCTGCTGCTCCTCCTGCTCCCAACAGTAAGATCATCCGCCTCTCTGCTACTTTCAGGATGCACGCTGCACTTAATGTGCTGCTTTTCTTCTCTCCACTTTGCTCTTTCAGTTATTTGGATAAATTATCACATGGCATGGACATTTTTATTTTCCCTAATCGAGCCCAAATTACAACAGTCTTTCCAGGGGACCTCTCAAAAATTACCACAAAATTATTAGAAAGTTAAGTGATTTGGTGTTTTTGTTTTCCTTCATATTGCAGCTGCACGGCATGCTGAGGCCACAGTCACATTTCATTAAGATACTGTCAAATTAGTACAGCAATTTAAATCAGAACATCAAGATCAGCTCTGCTTTGAAAAAAAAAACAGAGCCTGCATCTCAGGCTTTCTTTGCTGGTTTCTTGTAACAGTTTGTTCACTGTGCTGTTGCATTTGGTGTAATATCCTGTGCGGGAGACACACAGCCTCTCCTGGCCCCCAAATACTAACAGAGGTACCTGGGAGTTCTGGTTCACCTGCGAAATGCCACTGAATATACTCAGAAAGGCACATCTCTTTGAGTCTGGATGTCTTGTTCAATAGTGTCATTTGGAAGATTAATACCAATCCACTGGTAACTTTAAAGTTAAGATCTTTGTCCAACCCTCCTTCATGCTGCTTTCGAGCTTTTCAACCAACACTGCTCCCAGGCATCCACATATACCAAAACTGGCAATCATCAATCATCGCTCAGGTGCAATATCTATACCTCCTACATGCAATAATGTAAATTCAGCCATGTTATCTGTCCATTTATTATACTACTTTTTTTATAATACCTTTTCCTACTGTTTACTTTTTATATTGCTTTGTGTTTCCTGTTGCTGTTTCTTGTGTTGAGTCTCCCTTGCTGCTGCAACCAATGAAATTTCGCCACCGTGGGACTAATAAAGGATTGTCTTGTCTTGCCGTGTCTTATCTTAAATGTCCTCTAGGTCGTTGTTTCTCAAATAGTGTGCCACGATGCAAATCCGGGTGTGCTGTGGGATTTTGTGATAACCACACATTTTTTATTGGAATATTCAGCTGGGCCTAAAAAATGCATTGATGAATTTTTAATTGACTGTGTCAGTATGTTGTGTGCACCGATTCACCAACTGGGAAAATGGATCACTTTATTGCACTGAGCAAATTACAACAAAGCACCAGCGAAGACGACCTACCACTGGAAGAGAAAAAAACTGTCAGTAGAAAGTGTGACGAAAGCTACCTGTCTTATCTTTTCTTATGTTTATTGTCTTATGTTATGATAAAAGTGCTAACAAACATAATAGAAGCTATAGTACACATATAAATACAGGTGTGCCTTGAGATTTTGGTTTGGACACAAAAGTTTGAAAATCACTGCTCCAGGTAACGTGCCATTGCTGAACCCATTTCTGATATTTTTCAGTCTTTTAAAAGAGGAGGAGCTTACAAAAGATGGTTATTGGGGTGAGGGGAGCCTTCAAGAATCTTGTGTCCATTTTTTCCAGGGGAGGGTAGCTCCAAGATGATTTTTTAGAGCATCACTTTGTACGGGCACTTCCTGTCTTGTGTTGAGGTGTTGCACACATACACAGTTAATCCGGAGGTGAGGATGCTCTCAATACCAGCATATTAGAATTGGATCATACCTAACTGCGATATGTAAAACTTTTCAGGCTATCCTAGAAGAAAAAGTCTTTGCTGAGAAGAAGACAAAAGAAGGGGAGATGGTTACACCCAATAATTTGAAGTTCTCCACCTGTTTACAGAGGTCCTTACAGAGGTCCATGACAACTTTCATTCAGCTCCCAGCTGTCTGCTGCACATCAGTCCACCAGGGATGAAACCTCATTTCTGTGAGGTGCATCAGTGTTAGAAATCAGGCCTATTAATTCAATCTCATCATGAACTTAAACAATTTAACAGACTGTGAGTGGGATATACAGTCATTTCTCCACCAGTGTCTTCAGCAGTGGCCTTTGTCTATCACATCAGTGCAGAGCCAGTTAAATCAACATTTGTTCTGTTATAAATCAGCAGAGAAGAGTAAATTAAATTGAGCTAAGGGCGTGCCTCTATAACATCTCCCATGCATGTCAGTTAGGTTGATTTGCCGCTGGAAAGCCTGCAGTCCGTCTTATAATCAGGATAAGACTGAGCTGTGCACTGAGCATGCCCAGAGGTCCCAGCTGTGGCACCTCAGCGGAGAACAGAGCTCTCATTGTGTGCGGCTGTAACCCAGCACAGTGGCACTGAGCTCAGATTAAAGACTGCGGTGCTGCGCCGTCTCTCTGCGGACACAAATATAAACAGTGGGCCACTACACAGGCACAGGGGCAGCTGGGCCTCCAGTTTCATGCAGTTTATGCTGGTTTATTAAAACTACTCTGAGTTGATCATTTCTTCAGAGTCTCAGTGTGAGTCAGAGTGATAACACATAATTGAAACAAAGTATTTTTGCATAGTATTATTGCTTTTTTACCCAAGCAAAGAATCTAAGCTCTTTTCTGTGGACTTTGTCTGAGAATGTGGAGTCCAGACTGTCCAGTCTGAGACTGTGAAAGTAGGGAATCTATCAGAAATATTATTTGTGAAATAAAAGGTACATGTAATGAGTAATTTTATCCAGTTTAAGTGAAGTCAGGTTTATTTATAGAGCACATTTGAAAACAATGAAGGGGCATGATCACTTAAAACACAGGAATAATTTTTTAAAAAAGCCAGAAACAAGAGTATAGAATAAAGTTGATAAAAGCATACAATATCTTATTAAAATCATAATACATAAATTGCATAGCCCAAACAACAAAATAAACTACAAGCAAAATAAATAAAAAACAGTGTGGTCAAGCATGTCATCATAAGTGTAAAGTAACATAAACTGAACAACCAGAAAAATGAATACTTTTTGTTGCCAAAATGTTCTGAGTATGGTCAGGTGTTGTTGTCTAAGCACTGGTGGTCATTCAAGAACTTACAAGAAGTATTGAAATTAAATATCCTATCAAGTGTGTTTCTAATATTTTGTCAACCTCACATTTTTCCAAGGAATATTGCTCCTCTAGACCTCAGAGAAAAGGTTTTCAGAATTTTCAGTATAAAACACTCAGCCACAAATATCTTTACAAGTAGAAAAAACTATAAACAAGCCCTCAGACTTCAACATTACCAGTAAAGTATAATACATATGCACAGCAATAGAGGGTATACTGTTACCCTGACAGTCCATTACAACACTCTACCCTTGAGGTACTCTAGGACGGGGCTCCAAATTCTGACAAACTAAAGAACCTTAACCTCTTGAAGTACAATACATTTATCAACTCTCCTATCTACACATCATATGCTGGTGTGCAATCTGACACACAAGTAGATTAAGTTTCGTTGCCACAACCATACCAAATGAAATGGAGTTTCATACTTCTCTGTCAAAGGTAAAACATTAATGACACCTTGGAAGTCTTTTATTGCAACATAAAAAACTAGATACTGGCAGAAGCAAATGTTATTATTATTAATATCAAATCAGTTTTTTTCCTATCCAGTAAGGAGGTTTGTGCCTTTAAACATGCTGTAAATATCATCACATGTACAGTACAGGCCAAAAGTTTGGACACACCTTCTCATTCAATGCGTTTTCTTTATTTTCATGACTATTTACATTGTAGATTCTCACTGAAGGCATCAAAACTATGAATGAACACATGTGGAGTTATGTACTTAACAAAAAAAGGTGAAATAACTGAAAACATGTTTTATATTCTAGTTTCTTCAAAATAGCCACCCTTTGCTCTGATTACTGCTTTGCACACTCTTGGCATTCTCTCCATGAGCTTCAAGAGGTAGTCACCTGAAATGGTTTTCCAACAGTCTTGAAGGAGTTCCCAGAGGTGTTTAGCACTTGTTGGCCCCTTTGCCTTCACTCTGCGGTCCAGCTCACCCCAAACCATCTCGATTGGGTTCAGGTCCGGTGACTGTGGAGGCCAGGTCATCTGCCGCAGCACTCCATCACTCTCCTTCTTGGTCAAATAGCCCTTACACAGCCTGGAGGTGTGTTTGGGGTCATTGTCCTGTTGAAAAATAAATGATCGTCCAACTAAACGCAAACCGGATGGGATGGCATGTCGCTGCAGGATGCTGTGGTAGCCATGCTGGTTC